AACTGAGGGCGGCGGTAGAGGCCATTTGGGCCGACAGCGACGATACAGCTATGCCAAACTTGGTTCAGATTATGCCGGACAGGATGTTTGAGCTAATTAGAAACTCTGGAGGCCCCACTGATTTCTAATCTCAGCTATGTTTTTGTCTTTTGTTATGAAAAAATTTCATTGATAGGTTATCGACTACGAGAAATCGATTGAGAAGGATTTCATAGCACGAAACCTCATGGTTCCCTTTCAAACGTGAATTTTGAGGGTGTGCACATACTTTTGAAACGCACTGTAGTACTTCTAAATTTCTCGTGCACATGCGAGTTGTAACCATTTACTTATGAACCGTATTGAACGACCTTAAGTTCAAAGTAGAAAATGCCGCTAAAAACAACGAGCTTTGAGTTTCAAATGAGTACTGGAGCTAAAAAAATACTACAAAATTATACATAAGATTCGAGCTCATCAAGAAGCGCCGCATCTAATCTAAAAAATCACATAAAATTACTAGATAAAACCATTACAACCTTTCGTTGGTAAATTTCATGGAGGGTTTCTTTTGAAACTCGGAAGGCTATAACTTTCTTGAGCATAGCTCTATCGAAAATCGGTTGGCCATCTTTGAAACTGCGAGATTTCAAGCAATGTTGGATTTTCTTGAGAACACAGCATTTCAAAATTTCTCTTCTGTAAAAGTTTTTCTGAACATTAATGCTCCAATCCTTCCATATCACGCTATAGTATATCAAGATTGCTCTGGAACATTTTTCATGCCAGCAATAAGTTGAAATCTAAGCGTATGGTCCTCATAATTCCTGCTGAGGTGGGCAGCGCTCTCGCCTGTTCAGAGGCATTTCACTGTCATTCCCTCTGCACTGGCTTGCAAACTACTAGCAGAAGTGTATATGAATACACTTGAATTGAAGAAAACACATCTAAGTGAAACATCTAGTAATTATCTGGATTTAACAATAAGTATAATAAATAATAGAGTTATAACTAGATTGTATAACAAAACGGATGACTTTCAGTTCAAGGTTATTAGATTCCCACATAATGACACAAATATCTCCATAAATAATAAAGGCTCCGTCATATACACTGAAACACTTAGAATAGCTAACACTTGTTCCGTATTTGACACATTTACTGATAAACTAACAGAGTTCATAAGAGTGTTACTAGGAAATGGTTATCATGAGACTTTATTATATCTAATATAGTTAAGTGCATTTATAAAACAAAGTTTATACGTTGTAAAGCACTATTCAACTATTACAACCCCAAAATCTCAAAATTTTATTTTTCGTCGAAACTTCGCCCATAGGGGTTATTCGATGCCCTGATCACGAAAATGACATTCATTTTTGACGTTGGCGCCATCTGGCGCCAATTGGCGCCATTTGCCGCCTGCGCCATTTGGCCCCTATTTTCGCTCGTCTGCGCCCTCTCACTGATTAGCTCGCGATCAGGACTAAGCCTTTGGGGAAGGAGTGCTCCGAAGTGAGTAAACACTCATCCTGTGATCTTATACGCTTCAACATTTGCCACACGTTGCCTGGTTCACCCACCCAGGAGTCCCCCTCCTCCTAAGCTTAGTCCTAGGTAATATGTACAAGTGAGAGGAGCCCAGGAAAACGGAAAATATGCGTTGAATAGTGCAAATGCAAAAACGAATGTCATATTCGTAATCAGGACCCCAAATAACCCCTGTATACAAGTTTACAGCGAATTTGGTGAAAATAGCCCTGGCGCCAAACTGGCGCCAATGGCGCCAAATGGGCGCCAACTTCGTATAGATCATACATGAAT